TTTCCTGCTGGTTAGCTAGTTCATGAAGTCAACATTTTCAATTGCTTCCAGTTGATACCAAAAGAAGAAAGCATGTCGCTGAAAATATTCTTCTGCAAAACTGTGGTAGCATAGGGAACTTCCTAAATGACTTTAAAAATTCATCAGGAAAACAATCAATATAAGACTACACTATTTTGAATTGTTACAGTGAAGGGAACGTGGAATGAAGCATGCTAAAAACTACTGATGTAGGGACAGTATTATGGTGGCTGAAAAGCCAACACCATCCAGACAAGCAAGGATTCTACCGAATACATATTTGCAGATAAGCTGCCAAAAGTATATGCAGTAGAATCCCATCCATTTTCTCCAATTACAAAAGGTACAAATCCAAGGCTTTCCTCATTATTTAATCCTCTGGAAGCAACACAACTCAAAATTTGGGATCTGTACCAGAAAACTTGTAGCTTAATCTGATTCAAACCTCAAATAATTTACCAATTTTGCGCCAACCCCTAAAATCTCAAATAAACACGATCTATTCCATAAAGAAACACAAGGAGCAACTTTCTCTAATATGTCCTGCATGAGGACATCAGCATGAAGAAGTTGGATGCGGTAAGATAAAAATGACAGACAATTTTTGTCGTTTACCTTCAAGCATAGCTATCCCACGCTGCACGTCTTCTGGTTGTTTAGAGTGAACAAGAGCCCATGACAATCGCATAATGCTATCCCTTTTAAGTTCCTCTGAGTCACCTTCAGCAGCTTCTGCAACCTCCCTCTCACAGCCCTGGCATCAAAAGGACAGAGTGTTAACCAAAACACAAAATCATGGAAAATTGAAATAACTATTGATTCAATGCTTGCAAAACAACTTATAGGTCCTTAGTATTTTTAAGTAGCAAAGGCAACATACACGCTAAAGACCTGGGAGTTGGGACTGAATGAAACACATGCAACATCAGAGAAAAAGCATTCCAACACTTCATTTCCATTTTTATAAAAAGATTTCGCAATTCTTGCTCTAAAGTATTTACATACCATGACAAAGGACAATAACAGAACTTCTTTAGCAAACTAGGACACTAAAGTTAAACGAATCTTAAGTTTCAAATATACACAGGGAAAACATCAGGAGACGCCCATTCAGCTGAACAAGTAGCAGTGAAGAAAGCAAGAGCAA